AGGCCCAGTACAGGACAACTTAAACTTAAGTATAGGCTAATAAGAACTCTTATCAGCCGAATACTCATACATACAAAGACTTCAATCCAACATTTTTGAATGTCATGGGAAGAAGAATTTTGTGTGGATTCAGGTTCTCGGTTTTTTGTTCACTTGCATGTTGTTTATTTTATATTTCTACTTTCCTATTTTGACTAGGCTCTTTCAGCTGATGAGCTCTACTTATTTTGGTCTTTGTTGGATCATTTTGCCCTGCTAGGCTGCTACTGTTAAGACTTTGATGGTAAAAATTATGACAAAGATAAAAAGATATTATGATTAAATTATAAAAACTATAATTATAAAATTATTAAAAAGATAAAAAGCAAAACATTATAATTTTTTTTTGAAAGGTAAAGTAATAACTTTATTGATTCAGAAAAGAACTCAGTACAACAAAAGAGCAAGTAGCTGCTCAGATTTCAGGACAAGTTACAGATCCCAAAGCAAAACATTATAATTAACCCTTCTTCTAGACATTTTGTCAGGTTTGATCCTTTCAAGGTAGCTTAAGTGTTGGGAAGACCATTAGTGAGGGACTGAGGGAAACTTTTTTTGGTCTAAATTCCAAAGCTTTATCCATTGCTTAATTTTAAAATGTTTCCCAATACTCATCAATCAAAAAAAAAGTCCAATACTCCTATTTCAAATAATGGTTTTTGCTCTATAGCAGGAAACTGTACCCTTGGAATTCAGGAGAGGTTTTGAGGGCCCACAAATCAGCTGATGTCATTTCCATTCTACCATTTTGAAAGTGGTGTTTTTGACCTTATTGGGATGGTGATAATAGGATTTGGTCTTGTGACTGGTTCTTCTTGTGTTCTTCCTTGTTTAAGGCTTCATTTCCTCCTTTCTGGGATGTGTTTCATTGGAAAATGAACACTTCTGAGTTCCTTTAAAGGATGAGCCATTCTTGGGCTCTTTCAATCCATAGATGTTTTTTTTTTGTGATAATCCATAAGTGCACTTTATATAGCTAACTATGGAAATCACTTTCAACTGGATAGCATTGTGAAAATTTTGTTTGTAGTAAGGACTTGTGTGCATACCGTGCATTTCTTTTCTTTGTTAAGTGTTAGTGATAGGTCAGTGCCACCTACTGATATTCATATCCTATTCAAGCTCTCTTTCTTCTCCCATGCAGCTAAACTCTTTTAGGCAATGCATAGATGTATTCTATTAACTCTCAAAAAAGATAAGTATGGGCATATCCCTTATACAAGAAGATGCTGGTATATGCATGTACACCATATACAGTTATCCCCAATTTAGAATAAAGGATAACCAATTCCTAGTAACAAAAATGAGAGAAGGAACATCTATTAACAAAAATGAGAGAAGGAACATCTATTAATTTTTCCAATGAACACTATCACCACTTTGCTTTCCTTTAGAGATCCTATTATTATTTTATCAGCTTTTGAGATCCTATTATTTCTCAACTACTATATGCTCTAGCCGACCAATAATGGGAAAATAGTGAGAAATAGCATGAAAACAGCTTTGTTTTCTGCCACATGGAAGTAAGAAATGCTAAATTCTTCTCCAAGAGGGGGGAAAGGTTCTTAGAACCTCCCTGAAGAAGGTTAGAAGACAAACAAACTTGTCCCTAGCAGATTCACATGCAAGAGAATGAGGGGAGGGGTGGTTTGAAGCAAGGATCTAATACTCCAGATAAACTTTGGGGTTCACCTACCCACTGTCTCTCTCTTATACTGTTGCCTTATGTTCAAGAGAAGCAGGGCATTTCAGTCCATATGAAATCATGATGAAATCTATCAGTGTAACAAAGTTGGAATATTCCTGCCATAGGTAATACTAACCTTTTATTCTGTATTTAAAAAAAATACCTAATGTTGGTCCCAGCTATCTGGGGTCTTGGGAGAGGTAAACTGGATATGGTCTACCATCTACTCTGTACTCTATTTTATTTATATGAGTGCTAAATGCAAAGCAAAGACTTTCTTCCTTTCTTCTTGACATCTAATTAATGGTGTTGACTGCAATTGCATATCGATTACCAAAATACAAGAGGCTTAAATATTAAAAAAGTGTATTCCTTTTTCTGTAGAACAAAATGAGAAATTTGAAAAGGAATACCAAGTATATCCAAGATTATGCAAAAAAACACATGAACCAACCTAAAGGAACAGCACATATAGAAAAGAGGAAAAAAAGTGATTTCATGTGAATACAGCAGAAAAGAAAATCCTACAGGCAAGAAGAGATCCATTGATAATATGAATATGACCAAAAAAGCTACATTCAAGACTAGCTAGTTTGCCTCATCTCTACTCGAATGAATCTGCCATACATATAGAACAACTGAAATGGAGAAAAAGTTCAGTTACTTGGTACTTACTTGGACCAACTATTGGCTGGAGACAGTTCAAATCGGTGGCTGGCTGCTGATCTTCCTGGACTACTGTAAGTTATTTCATTTCGAGATATATCTTCCCCAGGATTCGGCGGAGGAAAATGATCATCTCCATTATCTGGCAATGGCTGGAATACATTCTTCTTTGTCCACAGGCTATTATCATTTGAAGCAATAGCTATAGGATTAAATATTCCACCATTCTGGCAACTCCCAAGATGTGCTTTTTGTGGAGATCGAGTGCCAGGGGGCACATGGTTCTCATTTGCAAACTGAGTTGCCATAGGCTTTTGGGGCAAAGGGTACTTGACATCTTCCTGATTCAGTTTGCTCTGTCCAAGAGGTGAGAGCCAGCTTGCAGATCCACCTACCAAACCGAGTCCATCCTGCCCAAGTGGAGGTGAGCCCCACATTTGCCATGTACCTTGCTCATGCCCATTGCTTGATTCATTTATAGGTGAACTATGCAGACTATGCAGATCACATGTCTTTTGAGTGCATGGGAATTGATTAGAGGTGGCATGCCTTTCTTCAGCAACTCGTAATCGTGAAATGGGAGACTCAATTGGAGGTGGCCTGTTAAAATCAGCAGAGGCAGAAGCATTCTGTAAAGAGCGAGGCTTCTCTAGTCCCAAATCTGTTCCAAACCCATTCCCTATGTCCAATGGAAAATTGTCAAGTGACTCTGAAACTGGCCCAAGTAAGGACTCTGGATCAGGAACATAACATGGATCTTCAAAAAGCTCTGGTTCTTCTGGGATAAATTCATTTGTTGGTTCTCCAACAAGGGGAAACATGAAATCAGCTGCAGAAGAAGAAACTGAACCAGCATGTGTTGAACCATTTGGAAAAGGAGCAAGAGTGAAAGGCGATGATACTCCAAAATGGATTGAATTAGCCAAAGGATAAGATGGTGATACTTGACCAGTCATCTGTGGACTTCGAACATCTGGCTGGGGTTTCTGAATAGGCCTGATTATAGCGTTCACATTGGATGATGGAGGAGTTGCCGAAGAGCGAGTAAATAATTGCTGCCATGACTTTTTTGGAGTTGTTCTTTGTAGCGGTTCTGAAACCACCTGATTATTAAAAAATAGAAATAAATGTGAACAGCAGTCAATAGAGTAGTAAACACTATGTCAATAGTTATGGTTTACGTTACAAGAAAGAGAAAATGTGACATGCTTGAGAACACGATCTTCAATAAACACTCCCAAGTATCATTTATGTCATCCACTAACTCATGGATACACTTCTAAATCTGTTGACAGCCTTGGTGGGTTGATAGGGCATACTGCAAGATAGTTTGGCACTCAAATCAACCATACAATTCAAACATCCAGAAGGAAGTCAAGAGTGACTTAGAAAATTTACATCAATGATTCATTTGATCATAGGGTTTTGCAATCAAAGTAGCATCCAACCATTTCAGCACTTCAGATAAATCAGTTGTGAAGCAAAAAGGATTTTACAAGGGTAAGGTCCACAAAGGAAGATGTCTTTTTGCTTATAATAGGAACTCAAGCAATGCAATGCTTATATACAACTTATAACCAAATTACATATATGAAGCCAGAAAAGTTGAACACAACTTACAGGACGCTGGAAACTAATATCAGTGGTTTTGTCATCTCCATTGAAGTTTAATTTCCCAGATGTATGTTCAGCCGAATATACCTCCCTACGATTGGCAAAAGCTTGGACATGATCAACAGAACCACTGGATTTGTTTGTTTTTGAAACAGTAGTTGCAGAAGCATGAGTACCCTTTCCAAAGAAACTAGCCCCATTAAAAGCTTTAGAAGAAGAAAGAAAAGAACCCTTCACACGATCGAAGTACTTATACCCAGTGCTTCCTCTATTAAAATTGTTTGCAGTTGTAACCTTTATACCATGCCCCACCTCAGAGCTCTGCAGCCTGATACTTTCAGTTGTCATTTTCTGAAGTTCTAGCCTTTCTATCTCATTCTTCTTGTCAGAATCCCGCCTTTTTTCACTATCCCTACCAGTCCTCCTTTCCAACTCCTCCCCATCTGAATTGCTTTTACTAGATCCTTTGTCTTTCTCCTTCTTTCTGTCTTGTCGTTTCCTTTCAGCTTCTCTCTTACTATCCTTTCCCCTGTCAGGAGCTGATCCCTTACTATATTCTTTTTCCGCCTCCATCTTCTCATCCCTCAGCCTCCTTCGTTCTTCCACTAACCTTGCAACTTCTTCCCTCTGCTTTCTTTCTTCCTCCTCTAAAAGTTCTCTCTCTAACCTAGCCTGTCTCTTCTCCTCGGCTTTTCTCCTAGCCTTTTCCCCCTTGCTCTCATGAAAATTCACCCCATTTTCACCTTTCTTTGACAATATCCCCTTGTGTTCTGCATCTAATGATGTATCTTCTCTTTGAGAACTTACCCTAAAAATCTTTCTCCACAGCCACCTTATGCTCAAGAAGAATGATGCCAACATCTTACAAGCACAAACAACAACACCGGAATAGGACTTCTCGGCCAAACAACGGTCATCATTACTACTGATGTATCTACCTCCATTCTTCCCCCAATAACTGGACTTCCCTGCAAAAGACCCACCAACCCAACTGCCGTTCTCTAGCCAATCTTGACCACAAATCCAACCATTCTCTGGCCACACCTTTCCATTCCATATCTTCCCGATTCCAGAATTACCAATCCCCAGTCTAGCAGGCCCTGGCATGTCTAAAACTGGTCTTTTAGAGATGTGACCGCAGTATGAGCACATAAACCGTCCACCACCTGGGTTCTGATCCCGATAAGGGGTTGAGCAATTCCTACACCGACGAGTAGCCGTCTTACGGAGCTTTTGCATCTCTATAGCTTCAAACCTCTTTCTCTCTCTGAGACGAGCGCTCCTACGCACCCTCCAAGCTGAAAGTTGCGGCATCAAAATCTCGTACCAAAATAGGGTAACCAGGAGAACCAAGACACAAGCCAACCGCGGAGACGTAACCTCGAACCTGAACGGCGGTGGCAATAACTGCGAAAGCGCCCATAGTCCAATAAGTGGAATTACTAACCACGGAAGCATGGTGGCAACCCGCCGAGACCACTTCTGGACCACGCACAGTATACACATTATCCTTTACCCCGCACCTATGATCCACAAAGCAAAAAAAGAATACCTAAGGAAACCCTAGAACAAAGAAACCGTTCTTCAAATGGAAGCGATTGCCCAGAACATGCCGTTAAAAAAAGGAAATGGTCGACAAACGAAAACAGCAGCCTCCGATCTTGTCCGGATTGCAATCAAATGTCATGATTTTTCATCCAAACATAAAATGTGGAAGAACCAAACCGAAATCCGGAAACCCCACAAATACGCAATTTGGCCCACCAGGATCTTTTATTTTGAAACTCGATACAGCTAAATCCCTGAAACCTTAAGTGAGAAATCAATCGATTAGGGTTACCAACCAGTTGAATTCTTTGCCGCCCCAACTCGTATTGTTCGAATTCATACAGAAGAGAACCATCGATACCTACCGAATGAACAAAGAAATTGGATAGATAAGATGCCTCAGACTTACAGATATGACGCCCATTGCGAGACGGGAAACCCTAATTTCGCCCCTTTTTATTCCTCCCTTTCTTTCTTTGAGGCTCGGTGTTTGCTGGAAGCGCCTGTTCGTTCTTTCGTTTTTTCCCTCTTCTTTTATTTGTTTTTTCTTTTTCTTTTTTTTCACGTTTCACCTGGGGATAAGAAAGAGAAAGATGAGCAGTTGAGGGATCCCAAAGAACTATTATTAAAAAAAGAGGGGGAGAAAGAGAAATGGGAATCCCCTTGCTTAACCTAAATACGAACAAGGTCGTGTATTATAAGAAGGGTTAACTGTTAAGCTCGCTTTTATCATCATCATTATCAGATTTTATAATATTTTTACATTATTATAATAATCACTTAATTTCAATCTCTCGTCCTTCGTTCCAATGTCCAAAACTGAAGTGTTTGAAATGAACAGGGTGATTTGAAGATCATGATTCATGCGGGAACGAACGATCACTCTGAATAACCTTATTGTCTTCATCACTCATATTGGTTTGAAAAATTCAAAACGCTTACAACTTGCCACGTCATTACATGTCTTAAAATACGTACTCGTATATGGGTTTGGGGACCCATATTTGCCACGTCATAGAATGGTTAGAAATTACACCCACCATTAGATTAAATGGGTCCCATTTAAACATAATTATCTATTTTTTATCTTTTTAAATTTTGGATAGATGAAATTCTTATACTTATTGGACACATTATCTGCGGAGGCGGAGCTACCTATTTTGAATTTACATATCCGCCCTGCCGTGCCGTCTAATTAATACAGGTGGAAAGCGGTCCTTCCCCCCTTTGCTTGCGACGGATATGGTGACGTGGTATTTAAATAATTAGCAATTTACATATGGCGTGTATCGAAGAATGAAGATACTATATGAAGCATCACAAGTTTCTTCAATCATACATTGTATTTTCCATATTGCAATTGAAAATATTGCACCATTCTTTTTCATAAAAACGGTGTTGGGGCATGTGGAGTTGTAAGTAACTGTTTTCTGGAAAAAAAAAAAGTGTTTATTTTTTGTTTGGAATCGATACTGTTATATAGGCTGTTTTCTGAGAAAGCAATATTGGTTTTGTTTGGTATCAGTGCTAGCAGTAACACTTTCAGTATGGTCTATATTATCCAACATCTAAGATGATGCCACATTGATACTTCATCATTACACCAATGGCAGCAGTGCACCGTTTTCTTATAAAACATTAAATCTGATGTTACTCTATACCACATTTTTCTGGTTTTCAAGACATGGTCGAGAGCAACAATTTTTTGGAAAACGGTACTAAACAAGAGTGTGCTATTTGAAGCATCGCTTTCTCTGATGTGATGCCTATGTGACACTGTTTTCTCAAAAAACGGCATCAATGCCAATTGCCAAACATCGCCTATGTGTTACAATCCAAATCTGGGTAACAAATAAAGAAGAGAGAAGAGGTCGAATTAAGGTGAGTGGATTAACCGGGCTACTTTCAAAGGCCCATAAGTAGATGGTAACAAATAAATGATGGAGATGGCATTTGCATGATCACTTACCAAAAACCATTAGATTAAGAGCCCTTACTTACAAATTACAAAACCATTAACAAAAAAGACCAAACTCCTATAAAACACACACACTACACCTCAAAAAGGATGGGAAACCAAACATCAAAAAAGCCCCCCTCTTAGCTCGAAAAACAAAACCATGGAACTCTATATAACATTTATTCTCTCTCTTTGAGACATTGATGCATCATGGTGATGGATTCAAGTTTTGAAATCAAGAGTTGGAGATGGGCTCTTTGCTCGTGTGTGTGGAAATGAGAAAGGAAAGATAAATTCAAAACTCTCTAACTAACCTTATCCTAATCAAATCTCAAACATTGTATTTCAGCCCAACAATTTTATCATTATCTTATTCCCTAACAATTGGTGGATGACCGGATGGTGTAGATACAAGATTTTTGTTGTTCAAAAGTAGGGGTGGGTTCGAGCCAAGCTGAGTCGAATAGTACGAGGCTTGAGCTCGGCTCACCAAGGTTGTACAAGGCTTGAGCCCGAGCTCAAGCTCGGTTCGAAATAGAACATTGAGCTCGAGTCAAAAACTCATAAGCTTGAGCTCGATTTGAGAAAAAAAGTTTTATAAAAATAAAAAAATATAATATTTTTTATTTATATTTAAAAAATTAATAATTATAATATTTTTATTATATGTATTATTTTTTATAATTTTATTTTATATATTCGAGCTCGGCTCATGAGCCTCACGAGCCTATAAATTGGGCTCAAGTTTAGCTCGTTTATTAATCGAACCTATAAATTAAACTTGAGCTCAACTCAAACCGAGCCGAGCCGAGCTCAAATAACTTGTGAAAAGCTCGGCTCATGGCCACCCCTATTCACAAGTGCATCCTCTTTACAATAAATACTTCATGCTCTCAAGGTAAAAGGAGGGGGGCAGGGGCGAGAACAAGTATAAGGAGAACAATTGATGATCGTAGCTTGGCTAATTGTCATGATTTACTATGCTTTGTCTATGCTTTATCTGTCTTCCATTGAAGAATGGGTTTCTTCTCCTCTTAATTGTGTTGCTCGTCTCCAGTTAATTAAGTATTTTACTCTCTCTCTCTCTACCTATTGTAATTATACACATGTACATCAATGTTTTATACACCGATTTATTTAACACGAGACTATGAGAGAACATGCTATTTTAGGTTTTTAGCGAATGAAGCCAAACACAAGAGATATAAGACTCATTGGGTCAGCCATGTTTAAGTGCTTGTGTAAGGGGATTGAAGTGCAACAATTTATAACTATTTGAGGTGGGTTTTATACGAACAAATTATAAACTACTATTATTTGTGTACGTGCTTTGTATGTGATAAATTTTGGGATGATAATATTATATAATATATTTTCAATTATTTTTGTATTTTTTTTACATTTCTACATCTATAACAAAATATTCATATTTATCACATTTATTATGGTTCATTAATATAAAGATATGTCCAAATAAAATTCATGCAAATGTAATGATAATTAATAAATTTCTTATTATTCTTATTTATCATCAATAAAATTCTTATTATTCTTATTTATTATGGTTCATTAATAAAAATAATAATTTTTAATAGTTATATTCGTTAGAATTTTATTTGAATTCTCGTTACCTTTGCAAGAATTAACTTCTATGTGATAAATCCAACTTTAGCTCCTTCAACTGTTGAAAACCTTACAATAAATTGCTATAAAAATACCACTTACCCTTGCAAATATCTTGCCATCCAATGAGGTGGGCTTTAAGGTAACGGAAATATAAAAGACGAAAAAACCATCTCCTACCTTAACGATCAAGAACTAAACCAATGAAAATAGGCTATAAATATTTTTAAAAAACAAGAAAATTGTTTAAAGAATAAATTACTCATCCATTTGCAAGTTGTAAATCTCTTCATGGTGGTTAATGTGGCCCAATATTGGCTATTGAGAACATAATATGTAATTTAAGTTTTTTTTTTAATTTAAATAAATGAAAGGATAAATTGCTAAAAATTCCCATAAAATTTGTAATCATTGTTGACCCCCCCCCCCCCAAAGTTTGGTAAATGCAATCACCTCCTATGAACTTTTTGACACAATTGCAAGTAGACCCTCTATTAGAATCTTCTAATAAAAAGCACAAAAATGTCCAAAATACCTATGTAGTGACTTTTGACCAAAATGTTTATTTTCCAAATTTTTTCTTCATATCAATCATTACCTCAATCCCTTCTAATCTCATTTTTAGAATTGATGTACTTTTTAAATTTTCCCTTCATATCAATTGCTCAAAGGTAAAATTGCAACTTTAGACACTCTTTTTTTTGTTGTTCATAACATTTATATTGTTTTTTATGTATAAACTAGCTTCAATAATAATTACATGAATATTTTGGACGTTTTCATGCCTCCTGTTAGAGGACCTTACAAAGGGGGTCTACTTGCAAATGTGTCAAAAAGTTTAGGGGAGGTGATTACAATTACCAAACTTCAGAGGAGGTTTGGGCAACGGCCAAAAACTTAACTTCAAGGGAGGTTTCAGCAATTATCGAACAAAAAAATGATTTTTGTATATTTTCAATAGCAAGCATTAAATGGAAATATTGTTAAAAAACATTTTTCCAATCGACTTGTTTTACAATTGTGAACAAAAAAAATAGAGTTTTGTGTATTTTTTGTAATAAGCATTAAATGAGAAAGAAGAGTTATTTCCTAATAAGCTTTAAAAGAGAAAACAAAATTACATATTTATCATTGCTCTTTCTCTTATTTAAACCTTAGAGATGGGGTATTTTAGTCTAATGAAAATTCCAAAAGCAAACCACATCTCGTACTTTGAAGAGTTGTTGGTTTCAACCTCTTTGAATAGTTTATCTGGAGTGCTTCAAAACAGTTGAACCAGCTTAGTTGAATCTTCAGTTTAGAATTCCGAAAAGGGCTCTAGGATTGAAGTGAAAAGCATCTAATATTTTGAGGTAGGTTCCACATGCCATATGCAAAACCTATAAGCTATGTTTGTTGAAAATTTTGGAAAGCCTAAATGGGACATTACTTCTTACTTGGTCTTTGAAGGATTGTCCCCTTTAACTTCTTTGAATAGCTTATTTGGAATGTTTCGAAGCAGGCTTCTCTGGATCTTCCAGCTCAGCCCTCCCAAACGGGCCCTAAATGACTCCGCTCCATATCCAATGTCCTATTCCTTTCCCAATCAATAAGCTAGTATGAGACCGCCCAAATTTCTACTTCTTTCCATTAAAGAAGATTCATTATTCTCGACATACTATCGGGGGCAAAAACAATTCTTCTATATAAGTGAGTGAGGAGAGGATTGCCTGGACTACTTTTATGGTGTAGCTTGGGCTGGGTTAGGTCACCTTGAAATCAGCCCACCCTTCAACTTGATGAAGGCTATGTTTGGTTCCATGGGCACTTATCGGAAAAACACCACCACATCAACACCACATAGGCATTGAGATTTATTGTGCATGAAACCACTATTTGGTTTCGACGTTTTATCAAATAAACACTGAAAAACAGAAATGCTTTGATTTATGTGCATGAAACATTGGGGGAAATTAAAATTCTTTTTTCCCCAACACTTGGGCATTT